TTATAAATTAATAATGTAATGTAGCATTTTTATAATTTTATAATATTTTAATTACGTTTTTTTAAAACTTTTTATAATAATTTTAGATTTTTTAAAGGGTAAATTAATATAAAATTAAACTTACTTTGCTCAGATCAAATAGTGAGAGAGAATATGAAGACCTACATATGAAGTGTTATCGTAGAGTTTAATAGATAAAATAAAAACAATAAAAAATTAATTCGAAAAAAAAAATAATAAGATTAGAATTTTGCAACAAATCTACAAAGCCTGGAAACTTTGTTTATTCTTGGATATAAACGAAGATAAAATTACAATATTATCTCTTAACCGTAGCTCCTGTCAATATACTAAACTAAGGCGTTAATACTATAATTTTAAAGATAATGATAGGGTTTAACAGTCGAGTCAATTGCATTTTAAAGAAGTTATAAAGTTCTGTACGTGACATTCTCTATATCGGTAGCAATTAAGAGAATAGAATCTTGTCATCGGTCCTGTTTTATCGATTAGTGAAATTACTATACAGATGAGAATAGAAAGAACAGTTAATCGCCAAAGCCATTTGCCTCCGAGTATATATTAATGGATTATGATGATCCAGATGAATTACTAGAGGTTGCAGGATTGATACAAAAGATGTCTCCAAGATAAAAATAAGAAAAAGATAACTTTATTACTACTTAATCATTCACTGAAAGAAAATGTAAATACACTTCTTAAATTAATACTACGAATATTTTTTTAAAAAATATATTCTAAAAATACGTTAAATAATTTATTATTCTTGATATTCGAACCTCTTACGACATTATTTTTCTGTAAAAGATTCTTAGAATTAACTGAATTCTTAATATGTTTACTCGTTTTTTAAATTTATAATCTTGATATCTCGAAGTTGGTTTAGAATGTTTAGATATATATATATTTTAAATCAGTATAGTTAAAATTCATACTTTAAAGTAAGAAAACTTAATTTAGATACCAAATCTACATTCTAGAAGCTGGATAATATAATGAAATGTACATTTATTGTTAATTAGATTTCATATATATGCATTTAATAGGAAATTAAATGTATATCATTATAAATTGTCGCGTATCTAAGTTGGGAACCGGGTTGTTGTCACAGTGATTGCATCATCCAATCCGAATAATAAATAGATGTCACGTGTCTTATTATTATGCATAGTTTTAAAGGTTCAAGATAGGTCACGGAAAACATGCTTCTCGTCACTATTCGAATAGAATGTTCGAAATTATACAATGAGACATTTTGCAAATAGCCTATTATTAAAATAAACCACTTATGAATCACATACGTCAACTGTTCCACTTTTAATTGTTATCAATACACGTGTTTGATGTGTCGTTGAACGGATTTAACAACTAAAGTATGAAGCGATAAGATGTAACGACGTGTCGTAACTGCCATGTAACAAATGCGTTACAAACACTAGGCTATACAGTAATTTCAAGAATAGTTAACCTTTAAAACTGTCTACGAGAATTTAATATATTGATTAAAATTAGCCATTAAATTTATAATGAAAACTGTAATTTGTTCGTAAATAAATAATTTGTTACAATTAATTTATAAATATTTTGTATATAAAAACAAATCTAAAATAAAATGGTATCTTGGTAAGAAATTTACTTAATTTCTAAAGAATTATTTAGAATATAATGATTTAAAAAAAAACGTTTAATCTTTAGAAAATACAGTCGACCCACCTATAACACTGTTGATAATTCCGTTTTATATGAATTCCATGTTGTACGAGTCACTTAGATTTTACAAATACGTGTGCCGGGCTGTGAACGGTTCACGTACAGTATTTGTAAAATCTAAGTGACTCGTACAACATGGAATTCATATAAAACGGAATTATCAACAGTGTTATNTAAAATTTGATTTAATTAATCAAGCTAAAATTATAACATCAATTCATTTTATTAAAGTCGGTTAGAGTTATAATAATTCATTAAAATTAATTATAATTAATGGATTTTAAATCACGGAAGTAATAATTGCGACTGGTAGAAATTTCAGTTAAAACTAAACTCGTAAATTTTAATTAAATCTTTACGATATTTTTGTAGTAAAAAATTGTATAAAAATTGTAATTCAATTGGCTTTTAAAACGTGTATAGAAAATTTTAAAATAGTGGATTTAAATATATAAAAAAATAATAATAATAAAAATACCTTTTTCAAAGATAAAATTCTTAATACTTTCGTTACGAATAAATCAAGTTAATTCATTATTTCGGCCTTTAAACAATTGTGGTCGAACCACTACAAGAAAAATTGTGTCACACTACAAAGGTCACTCATTGGTACGTCCGACCACGTGATTATGAATTTAAAATTTTTAAATACTGATGACGTTATTATGGTCACTCGAGTCATATGAAATGCTAGATTACAGCTTAAATCATATATTTTAAAAGATGAGAGTTGCATAAATAAATCACTTCAAACTGGTTTATTTATATAACTTATAATTTAAGTTGACAGTTTAAAAAAGAAAAAAAAAGCAGCAAAAATTTGTATTTGATCATTTATTTAATAATTTTTCATCCAGTTTTATTATAATTAATAAATAATTCATCTTTTCGTATATGAGATGATGTAACACGATATAATTGATTTTAATTTAAAATTAAATATATTAATAATATTTTTATGATTTTATAATATTTTAATTACGTTTTTTTAAAACTTTTTATAATAATTTTAATNAAGGAACTATTTTCATTGGATGAATGTATAACCTTCACAATGTGCAATACTACGTATTCCATGATATACGCGACACCAATTGTATTTGACCTTAAATTCCAAAACCAGGAATTTATGGTAAGAAATTTCTTGGTCTCGTATTCATTGACGGCACCCTGAATAATGACTGATATCTGAACGGTGGATCGGTGTACGGTGCGTACCAAGCAACGTCGCGTGATGTTGATGAACTGAAGAGACGTATACGTGAGGCCTGTGAAACAATGACACCAGGAATGCTACATGCTATCCATAAGGACATTCTCAATCGTATACAACTTTCTATTTTCTCTTAATTTAAGGCAGCGTTTTGAAGATGTCCTCTAACAAAATAAAGCTAATTTTTTGCATCAATTTCTGCAATATTGTGCTTATTGCTTACAGTCAGAGATTATTTATATATTGAATATTATGCTAAATTATCTTAAATTAATTACCTTTGGTTATTTTGGCGCTGGAATAATCTACATCACATTTATACACTTGTGCAATGCTGGGAAGATCTCTTTTGCCCTAGGACAAATGTTGAATTAAGTGGATACCCTGTATAATAAGCCATGGATTAAAATACACATTTCATACATATTCATACTTAACTGGATGAATACACACATATAATGCAGTTATTTCTAGTAAAAAAGTGAAAATATCTCTAAGCTATAATTTAGAACAGGCCTAAGTTTCTCTTAAATTGCAAAAACTTCTCCAAAAAAATGGATATTTTAACCTCATCCTGCCACTATTTTTGAGGATGATCTCGAGTCTTTTCCGTGGTGGAATCTTTAAAAACGACTTCTGGGGTCTTTTCTAATTGCCTGTTCCTAGAACGTGCTCTAACCACCGTAGGTTTTCGGTCTGCATTTCTTTTTCTTCTTCATTTCCCAGTGTCTTGGTTTTTGTATGAAGCAAATAACTTAGTTTAGTTTCCTCAGTATTTTCTTTTCCATGCTCTGATGGCGGCCTTCCTTCTTAGTTATCAGGGTCCATATTTTCCTGCTGTTATAGAATATAACATAGGGAAAGTATGGTAATCGGTCAAATTTTATTGCTCCTTTTTTGCATTTCTTCACGTTTGACACTTAATGAGCCCAAAAATGTAAAAACACGCATACAAAATTCTGTATGTATGTGTGTCTTTATGTATATAGGTAGGTGTGCGTGCGTGTGTGTGTATCTACATCTATTTTACATTATATCTCAGGACTGAATGAACCAAACATTTTGAAACTTGGCAAGGTCGTTTCTATATTTGGGATATTTAGGCTGTTAATTAAATTTTGGACATTGTGCCAAGAAGAAGGATAAATGAGGTAGGAGTCATATCTAGAGTGGAATCAGACTTAATTAAACTTTTACTTTTTATTGGTATTTACATCTTGTTAAAATGTAAATTCTTATCCCAAAATAAGGCTTTTGCTTTTTTATAATAATTAATAATATAAAAGTGATCCACCAGTGGCCAAGCGGTTCCATTTCCTGAATACTAAGAGTTCGGTCGTGGGTTCACGCCTCGCCAGGACGGGCTGGCCACGTGGAGTTTTTCGGGTTTTCTCCGCGTCTGTAAAGTCCGAATAGGGGACAGTTGCCCTTAAAAAGGGTAAACTGTCCCCTATTCGGGACAGTTTGCCCTTTTTAAGGCAAAAAAAAAAAACAAACTGTCCCGTTAAAGTCTGTCTAAAGGTCCTGTTAACTGTCCTGTTAAAGATCTGTCTAAAGGCATCCCTCTAGACAGATCGCCTAAGCGTTGCGTTGCCGTATAATAGACAAACAATATAAAAAGTATTTTTAAAATAAAATCTTATAACAAGTGGTGCCACACAATTTAACTTTGAGCCTTATCTTAGCTTTTTAAAACCTAAATATTCTTACGTGAGTTTTAAAATAAATTCCAACTAATTGAGAGTTATCCATATTTATGGAATTCCGATTTTGGATATAATATGATACACCCCTTTCGTTTAAGAAAAAGGGCGTTTGTTTAGAGTGAAATGACACCTGAAGTCCAAGAGGTGACCTTCAAGAAGGTGTTTGACTGTTCAACTTTGAAGAAGAAGATAAAAGTCACTGACCAATGAGTGAGTTCAAGGACTGTCTTACCATCGTTAGATATACCATAGTTGCCAGACTTCATCTGGTCAGTTTACTGAAGGCATCCGAAAACATCACTTACCACAGCCGATTGCCAAGGTACGTTATTCTAAATTTTGTCTTCACTTTTCCACAGGGAACAATCTTACATTCGCAAGAATATAACGCTTTCAAATACTGTTTTTTTTTTCCATATTTACACTTTTTAAATAAAATATTTTCAACACACGGATACTACAGAATAAATTATTTATGGTAAAAATTTTATTTAAATTTTATGATTTATGGTAAGTTGAAAAATAGAAGGTTAACTAAATCGATCGGTAGTGTCACCATCTAGTAGCGTAAATAAAAGCTACAATTAAAAGCTTTTAACAAAAATTATTATATTTTAATTACTTCAATAAAAAAATTCCTATATTTGCATTTTATATTTCACGCTCCACGATTACATTTTCATAATTCATTACAACGAAATTCTGAAACTATGGAACTCTGTTCCCTTACATATATTTTTTTTAATAATAAAATTGTATCAATATTTTCACGTATTTACAGTTTTAAAAAATTTATTTCAGATCAAAATGATTTGGCTTTTCGGTATTATCGCTTCATTATGTCATTTTGCATATACTGCAGAACCCCCTCATAGTAGGCCACAAGGTAAATATCATTTGTATTCGAATAATGCTGTATTTAATTTAATAATTTATATTAAAAAAATCTATCTCTTCTGCTAGATATAGCATTATATAATGTAAACGAATCTGAAGAGAGAGCAAAAATTGTATGTTATTATAGCGCTTGGGCATATTCTAGACCTAAACCCATGAATTACGATATCGAAGATATACCCGGAGAATATTGTACACATATTATTTATTCATTTGTGGGTTTAGATAATAGAACTTGGGGTCTATTTTCTATCGATCCGCAATACGATTTAGAAAAAGGTAATAAATAAAAAATAGTTTTATAAAATTTAAATGAATTAACTACAATTATTTTATAATATTTACTTAATCGTAGGTGGTTATAAACGTTTTGTAAATTTAAGAATAAAATATCCCCATTTAAAACTCTTGTTGGCTGTTGGTGGATGGGCCGAAGGCGGTAGAAAATATTCTGAAATGGTTTCTGATAAAAGTAGAAGAGATATATTTGTTGCTAGTGCAGTAAAATGGCTTCTAGATTTTGGTTTCGATGGTTTCGATTTGGATTGGGAATATCCTGGTGCAGCCGATCGAGGAGGACGTTATTCTGATAAGGATAACTTTCTCAAACTTGTTCAGGTAAAATCATTTCAAACGTAATTTATAAAGAATATTTATTATGAATATTTAATTATTTAGATTATATATTTTTTTTTAGGAATTGAAAAAAGCATTTGAACCTCATAAACTCCTATTGACAGCTGCAGTACCAATTCCGAAATTCAGATTGCAAGAAGGATATCACGTTAAAGAACTTGCTGAGTAAGTTTTAAGTAATGATTTATTACATAATATGAATTTTATTATGATTTTATTATCTTAGAAAATATATTTATAATCTATATGCAATGATTAAAATATATCTAGATAGTTTGCTATATTTTTGTAATAATTATTGATATATAAAATTACTGAAACTTTAGCTATAAATTAATGCATATTATTGTATATAGTAGGAACATTTTATAAAATGTAGGAACATTTGAAAATAATAAAAACATAAAAGCGTAAATATAATCATTTTTCTGTAAAATAGTTTAAAATATTATATCAAAACTAACAGATTTGAATGAGAATTTTCTATCTGAGAGTATTTTTTTTGCATTATACAATTGATTGAAGAATAGAGTGACCAATCCGGTTTGCTCGAGACAATCTCAGAATACATCTATTGTCCCAGGTCCAGGATAAAATCTATCACAAGTTCCGGTTTTCACGAATAAAATTTTTATATATTAGAAGTAATAAAAAAAAAAATACTGTACATAGAAATACATAAATCTTTAGACTGAATGATTTTATTATAAAGTAGTGGATAAAAATGTCTAGTTTCAGTAATTATTCCAACTGTGAAATAATGATTTTGATTGTTAATTAACTAAAGCACAAGTTGCTAATCATGTGATAATAATAAATGACAGGGTAATGTCCAATTCAATGTACTAAGTTTTAATTTTGGATCACTTCAATTTTTTTACTTTTAAGTTACAATATAAATGATCTTGAAAATCATTTTCAAGATCATTTATATTGTAACTTTTTAATGAGCAGAGGTAACGTAAAAGTTTCTATGACAAAGTTAAAAATCGCTATTTATTTAGTGTAAAATTATTTTCTGAATTTAAATAAATACAGTTAAGATCGTATAATTTGCAATTTCCCGAAGAATATTCACATATAGTGATAGAAAAGTCACTTACATGATTTTAGAAAACTAAGCTTTGGAACAGTTTCTAGTTTAGATAATGTTATCAACAGTCTCTCTCTTTATATAAGGTACTGTACATTCGCCAAATAAGGCCTACTAAAGTTTTAAGACGTTTTGTATTTTTTCACTATTAGAGGAAAAAGCCTGAAAGTTGTACTGAAACATACTGTAAGATGTGTACTTGCGGAAATGTGAAATTAAAGTTAGTAGCATTCGAAAAGTTTTCTGTACTAATACATTTTTCAAAAGTTATATAATGGCCTTATTTGGAATCCCCTGTTCCAAATAAGGACCATACGTAAAGAAATAATTGATTAATTAAGGTAAAAAGTAAGAGTTACAATAAATGTATTTAACACAAATTTTGCACAATATTACATCATTTTGCAAAATTTATACTTCAATGTTTGAATTTTGCAAAATGAAAGTTGCTGTGGTCATTGATCCTTTCTTAGTTATCACAACTTCTCTGCTAGGTGGAAAGTTATCGTTCCAATCAGGATTTAATCTTTTTCCTTTTAAAATAATCATAAGCGGTATGACTTGACTCAGTGAATTTCCACACGAGACAATAGATATGTTTTTACCGTGTTCAAGTGCAACAAGATGCACTCTTTTTTTTTATCTTTTTCTGAGATACATATTTTGTTGTTTATGGAGAGCTGGTCTACGTTCTTTCTCGTCTATATTGTATGTTAGCTGGGGCTGGACAAAAATTTCTAACCGGGCCAATACATCTTTCAGCTTATCAAAATAGCCGCTGACAACACATCTATTTGATTACTGCAGCCCTACCCAGGTTTATACTTAGAGCCTTTCTTCCGGATTATTATTATTATTATTATTATTATATACATTCCTGTATCTTACAGAATGTGTTTATCAGGCTTAAAATAACAAAANCCGCTGACAACACATCTATTTGATTACTGCAGCCCTACCCAGGTTTATACTTAGAGCCTTTCTTCCGGATTATTATTATTATTATTATTATTATATACATTCCTGTATCTTACAGAATGTGTTTATCAGGCTTAAAATAACAAAACTCATGTAAAAAATCGATAAACATCATTGATTAGCCTTATTTAGAGCTCTTGTTAACCCACGCTTTCCATCGGTGTTTTATATCAGTACCCATATCTTATTTTATTCATCACATACTTTAATATGATGTATAACATGTTCATGTACGTCAAGTTACCAAAAGATGAAAAATATTTATCAAATTATCTTGAAATAGTAAGAACAATAGATTCTGCCAATGTTCATACTTCAATTGTATCAAACACGGCAGAATAGTCTTCGATTGGTTAGATTTCCTTAAACTCTTTCCGCCATGTGAGCACTAAGAGGGCCTCCATTAGCAATCCCATTATGGGTTCGGCCAGGTCCACAGTGGGCGCCATTGTGAATCTGGACGAACGCATAATGGGCTTGCTGAAACAGCCCTTCTTACTGCTTCTACGACGGAAAGAATTATACAAAACAAAGACAGAAACACATCGGATATTATGTCACCATGACATGCCCCATTCCACAACAATCTGCAACCAGCACAACATGTAGAGGATGCAACACAGAGATTTGCGTGTGCAATACGGTGTCAAATTTGCAGCGTGACGAATCACGATTCCTTCAACACATTTTAAGGCCCAACAAGGAACTATTTTCATTGGATGAATGTATAACCTTCACAATGTGCAATACTACGTATTCCATGATATACGCGACACCAATTGTATTTGACCTTAAATTCCAAAACCAGGAATTTATGGTAAGAAATTTCTTGGTCTCGTATTCATTGACGGCACCCTGAATAATGACTGATATCTGAACGGTGGATCGATGTACGGTGCGTACCAAGCAGCGTCGCGTGATGTTGATGAACTGAAGAGACGTATACGTGAGGCCTGTGAAACAATGACACCAGAAATGCTACATGCTATCCATAAGAACATTCTCAATCGTATACAACTTTCTATTTTCTCTTAATTTAAGGCAGCGTTTTGAAGATGTCCTCTAACAAAATAAAGCTAATTTTTTGTATTAATTTCTGCAATATTGTGCATATTGCTTACAGTCAGAGATTATTTATATATTATGCTAAATTATCTTAAATTAATTACCTTTGATTATTTTGGCGCTGGAATAATCTACATCACATCTATACACTTGTGCAATGCTGGGAAGATCTCTTTTACCCTTGGACAAATGTTTAATTAAGTGGATACCCTGTATAATGAGCCATCGATTAAAATACATATTTCATACATATTCATCCTTAACTGGATGAATACACACATATAATGCAGTTATTTCTAGTAAAAAAATGAAAATATCTCTAAGCTATAATTTAGAACAGGCCTAAGTTTCTGTTAAATTGCAAAAAACTTCTCCAGAAAAATGGATGTTTTAATATATCATCGCTAACTTATGTTCAATATTTAGTTAATATAAGCTATTGGTCTGATCACATCGATGAAAATTGTAATATTTTTTCTTCTTCTTCTTTAGCTTTAATTGTCTTGAGGTTCTTTGCCGCAAACACGATTCGTCTCCCTTCTTTACTGTTGTGTGTACTTTGAATCTCCAGTAAATTGTCCCTAGAAATTTGAAGTCCTCTTTAACCTCATCCTGCCATTATTTTTGGGGATGATCTCGAGTCTTTTCCGTGGTGGAATCTTTGAAAACGACTTCTGGGGTCTTTTCTAATCGTCTGTTCCTAGAACGTGCTCTAGCCACCATAGCTTTTCGGTCGGCATTTATTTTTCTTCTTCATTTTCCAGTGTCTTGGTTTTTGTATGAAGCAAATAACTTAGTTTAGTTTCCTCAGTATTTTGTTTTCCATGCTCTGATGGCGGGCTTCCTTCTTAGTTATCAGGGTCTATATTTTCCTGCTGTTATAGAATATAACATAGGAAAAGTATGATAATCGGTCAAATTTTATTGCTCCTTTTTTGCATTTCTTGACGTTTGACACTTAATGAGCCCAAAAATGTAAAAACACGCATACAAAATTCTGTATGTATGTGTGTGTTTATGTATATAGGTAGGTGTGCGTCAGTGTTGCAGTTCCTAGTACATTTGTACTTTTCTGGTACATTTTGCCCTTTCCAGTAAATTGAAAGTACATTTAGATTTTTAGTACATTTTCAGTACATTATAATATTTCAAGTACCATTTACGGTACAAAATAATATTTCACGCCTTAACGAAAAAATTAGTTTAATAAAGTCTCACTAGTATCACTGCTTGCTAATTTAAATTATCCATTCACAACATACAAATGGTGTGTGTCCGTCGGCAACATAGATAGTTGCACGTGTAAACGGTCTTGACTCAGTGGTCTTCTTTCACACGTTCAGTTGTCTGCACATTCTCATCAGGACCTTGACAAAATTTTTCATGCCACGTGGTCCA